TATCCCAGCTAAAATAGGGCAACAGGCAGGGTACACCATGGACAGGCTGCCACCCTGACACAGGGCTAACACAGAGCAACAGACAACCATTCAGACTTACACATTTGGGCAATTTAGAAGCACTAATTAACCCAACTCCACCCAGATGGTGTAGTCAAACTCATGACTGTTCTTGCCTTGAGGTATCAGTGCTAACCACCATTGTGCTGCCATGAAGTTCAAACTGAGTACCAGAATTCAGAAGAAAGTGATTTAAGTGATCCAGGAATTCTTGTTGGTGCCAGCAGGCCAGTCTGAGTAGTTCAGAAACTACTGATCAACTTGTGCCTTCCTACACAACCATCTCTACAGTTTATAGAGAATGGTTCAAAAAAGAGAAAATATCCAGTGAGCTGCAGTTTTCTGGGATAAAATGCTGTTTCAATGCCAGAGGTCAAAGGAGAATGGCAAGAAGCCTTTATCTGATAGAAAGGCGACTAAGACCAAGATATGCAGAAAGCCTCTCTAAACATCTTAAACCTTGAAGCAGGTGAGCTACAACAGCAGGTGCTGCTCCCCTCATCTAAGAACAAGAAACTCAGGCTGGCTACTTGAACTTGACACTGAGTTAACTGCACTCTTATGGCATACACAGTCACCAGATCTTACCAAAACATTATCAAAAGTAAAAAAAATAATAATAATAAAAAATGTATTTTTCTTTTCTTTGGTATAAGGGCAAAAACTACTGTTAGCCAGTCTGAGAAAAAAAAGAGAGCTTGTGTGTGAGGAAAAATGAATTAAGGGATGCATGAAGCTAGGATCCTCACACCAAAGTCAAAGAGCACTGAGAAGTCCATGGCTGTGTCCTGTTCAGATCGTGGCACAGTTTTCCGGGGAATGGAGCCATAGGGGAGACCCATGAGAACCTAAATGCAGAGGAGAGGGATGGAGAGATGGATGGAGAGAGCTCAGCATTTGCCACATTAGCTATTGCCTGCTAGCATACATAAAGACAAAGCCTACCTCTGGCAGCACCACCAGACCAAACATGAACCCAAACAGGATCAGGTTCAGGCCATACATCCACCTCAGAAAAATGAAGTAAGATGCCACCGATGATCCAAAATGACCTGGGGGGGAAAGGGGGTGAGGTGAAAATACATAATTGTGAGGACAGCTTATTAGCAAATGTAAGATTATAGCTTAGTGATTATTTGGTTTTGTGGTACCAACTTTCTACTTCCTTTATCTTCCTCTCCCATGGTATACATGCTGTTTTGAAGTTGTCAAAGTCCCGATTAAACTTGATAAGTTTCTAGGGGAGAGTGCAGAGAAGCAAACTTAAACAATATTGCTCAAATTATAAATCAATGCATTTTGCTCAGTGAGGACATTACCTTGGTCATCATGACTTTAAACGCATACAACTTCTTGCCTCTTCCTTTCCCGAGAGCACCTTCGAATTTTTCAACAAACTCCTGGGCCTCCCTGTTTCAGGCAATACACAAATGTGCAGCAATGAAATGCCATCCATGCCCACATCCAACTGAAAATCATGATCTACTCAGTGAATTAATTATTTAGTTAGTGAACAGGATGTACAAACAACAGGTTTGGAATGATTTACTGATTGATGACACGCTGCATATGTTAAGAGCACTGGCAGGAAGACACAGCAAGCAGGAGGTCAGCTCACCACAACATGCATTAAACAGTGTCAAGCTCATGAAAAGTTAAGGCAACTCGGCTATCATGTTCCCTTTCCAGAAACTTGCCTACATACATAACAAACATACACACTTACCTCACAAACACACACTGACTTACATAAGCCTTAGCCCTGGCTGGGAAGCCAGAACAGTTTGCTGTCTTCTAACATATCTAACAGGCTGAGATACAGCCAGCTTGGCACGTGCTGAGATTTTATAGGAACCTGTTGTCATGTATACAAATTCCACAAAGGGCAGAATTTCCATACAGTGCATCCAGAAAGTGTTCAGACCACTTCACTTGTTTCACATTTTGTCATGTTACAGCCTTGTTCCAAAATGGATTAAGTTCATGGTTAGTTTTTTTTACCTAACAGTTCTGCATTCAATATGTCCATTGTGATGTTGAGTGAACAAAAGTTTCCTCAAAATTCTTGCAAAAATCTTTTTCATTTTTAATAAAAAAAATGAAAAATATAACATGCATGTACTGTAAGTATTCTCACACTTTGCTCAATACTTTAGCAATAATTGTAGTCTCAAGTCTTTATGATTATGATGCTACAAGCTTGAAACCCATATTTCTGGGCAGTTTCTCCCATTCTTCTTTTCAGAACTTTTTAAGCTCCATCAGATTGGATGGGGAGCACAGCCATATTCAGATGACTGTGCTTCAAGTCTGGGCTCAGAGTTGGCCACTCAAGGACATTCACAGAGCGGTCACAAAGCCACTCTTGTCATCCTGGCTGTGCATTTAGGGTCGTAGTCTTGCTAGTCTCAGGTGGCTTCTGTCTGGCCCACATGGGCCTGATTGGTAGTGTGCTGCAGAAATGGATGTCCTTTTGAAAGGTTCTCCTTTCTCCGCAGAACAATACTGGAACTCTGTCAGAATGACCATCAGGTTCTCAGTCACCTCCCTGTCTAAGGCCCTTCTACCCGATCACTCAGATTGGCCATGCAGTCAGCTCTAGGAAGAGTCCTGGTGGTCCCAAACTTCTTCCATTTACAGATTATGTTGGAATTTTGGAATAAGGCTGTAAAACAATGTGGAACAAGTAAAGTGCTGTGAATACTTTCCAGATGGACTGTAGATGAATAAAAGCCTAGATCTAAACATTTTCATAGGTTGCAGGACTCAAAAGAAGAAACATGCTTTGCCCTGTCTAAAAACACAAGTAGTTTTGTCTGTTTGTATAGTCGAGCATTGATGAGTGGAAGTACCAAACAGGTAAAGTAGCAGTGAGCAAGATTTAATAATA